TTGGCAACAGTTGTTAGCTCAGGTGCCAATCTTTAAAAAAAAAAAAACAATTTTATAAAATCACACTGCACTTGTACCAAATGAACTTAGGTCTATTTAAATAAATGTGAGCCAGTTAAAACCTGTTATAATGTAACTAACAGTATAAAGTTAAACTATAAGCGAATACCATATTTCCACCAGCACACGCTTCAACAGCTGAAGGTTCAAATTGGTTTGTTAAAATATATTAGATTCCATTTATAAAACAACTCCAGAGGCACTCACACTATCATTGCTTCCCTGATCCCGACTCACACAGGCATTTCAGGGTCCACCTGACTCAACCCTCAACCAATCGCCAGGTTTCCCCTCACTCACATCCACTCCGTATAGTCACCTAAGCAACCCTCGAAAGCCTCCACTTTCCATCTCTAAAGTGCTCTAACTGCTAGAAAATGGGTCCTTAAATCAGTATGTTCAACCAACATGCCCAGCAACAGTGCCAGGGCTGGAAGATGCAAAGATGTAAGACACGACTTTCAGCATAAAAATCCAGTGTCTGGCACACACAGCAAGTGCCCAATTAACACCTGTATAGCGGATGGAGGAGTGACTGAGTGAGCAAACTCACAGTCTAGGGCAGCACCATCCAAGAGAAATATAAGGCAAGCCACAAACCGTAGGCACAGGCGTAATTTTAAATTTTCTAGAAGGCGCCTCTAAAAAGGTAAATAGAAACAAATGACATTAATTTTTAATATATTTAACCCAACGTACAGAAAATATTTTCACACGCAATGAGTATCAAAAAACATTATCAATGAAACATTTTACCTTTTATCGTACTAAGTCTTTGAAATCTAGTGTGCATTTTACATTTACAAGACATCTCAATTCAGACTAGCATATTTCAAGAGCTCATTAGCCCCATGGAAGCAGTGGCTCCCTTAGTGGAGAGCAAAGTTGTAGAACATCTCCATCATGGCACAAAGTTCTATTGGGCAATGAACCTCCCAACAAAGGGAGGAAGCAAGTGCATGGTGTGGACGAGGAGGAGCATTGAGAGAAGGGGGCAGGCGAGTGAGGCAGAGACAGACAAGGGACGGCCTTGTCTGCCGTGCTGAGGAGTCCAATCTTGACTCTACGGACAGTGGGGAGTAAGGATGATACGATAAAATGCTTTCCTTCAGGAGGGTGGCCTCCTTGAAATAGAGTAAGGAATGAACTGGAAAGAAGAGAGAATGGCAATGGAGTAGATGGGTTCGACTGAAAGTCATTTCTGAAGTTAAAAATCAGTGCTAATCAGTGGTTCAAAAACACAGATTCACAGGCCAGGATCAATCTGTAATGAACCCTCTTCTCATCCAAGATAAAACATTAAAAAGAAGAAAAACAGTATGTTTTCAAGAAATTAAATTTATTCTACGCAATGAAAGGCCCCTTATTCTCAAATTATATTGCTTTGGAGGAGGCATTAAAATGTGCTTTTATGAGATGGTGGTAAACCATAGGCTGCCAGTGTGCTTTAAAATGCCTTACTGGGCAAAGTCAAAAATTGGCAAATATATTTTCACTCCCAAAAATCTAAATTTTAGTTTGCAAGTAAAATCCAAAATTCTGGAACTACAGTTTTAAACAATTTCTGGACTTTATTAAGATGGATATAGGGTCCAATGTTTGCATATTATTCTGTATCCTGATTTTCTTATTTCACACACACATGTCCATGTAGTAAGAACACTGACAGGGCTTTCATCCTAACCTGCTATATAGCAATTCAGTATGTTCAGCGTATTGTGTTTATTTAGTCATTCCCATGATGTTATGTATTGGACTTATTAGCATGAACAGCTTTACCAAAATGAATTTTCTTCCTTCTACCCCCAATTCCACAGATCATTTCCTCAAGATACAGTACCCAATGGGGAATTTAGGAGTCAGTGGTGAGGCACAGCTTTGTTCTGTGTTTCGCTCTTATTACACATCACTAGACTGTAGAATATGCAACCCTGCCAATGCTCATTAACAGCCCAACCAAGAACGGGCTATAATTATTTCTGGTAATTTCATAGTCAAATTACCAGGTTTTCAAATTTTGTCAAACTGACAAAATAGGTTTTGCTTCTTGAACTGCTCGTGAGGCTATGCCTGCTCCTCACGACGATGTCATGTCTCGAATTCCTCATGTTCACCTCTCCTGACCGCTTCCAGGAAGGACTCTGAGTACTGACCTGTGGGATCTCAATTCTTTATATTTCGGATGATAACCATTTAATCTCTTAAACTGTCCCATTATTTTCACCTGTGCTATGGCATTCCATTTAATATTTATTCTATTGCCTTTGGCTGGGCTATTTCTCTTTTCTTCTTCAGATATTCAGGCTCATTTGTCTTGTGTACGATGATTTTCTCCAGTGCTGCAGTGGTCCTATCTTCCCTGTACAGCTGGGTTAAAAACGCTATTCCATTTTCTTCTAGTTATTTTACAGATAAGAACAGTGGAATCTAAAAGCAGAGGGCTTTATACTCTGAAATTAATATACTTTTAAAACTGTAGAACTTTCTGGTATGGACGAAATTTGCTGATAGTTTCCAAGTGGAACTGTCCACATCATAAAATGACAGATGTCACAAAACAGCTGCTGTTCTCCAGTCAGGAGTGAAGCTGGACATGATATCTGAGAATCAAAACTTTGGACTCTTCCTTCAGAGGTGTCCAGCATCCTAGAATTCTAACTGCTAATGTTTGTCCCTATGTCTCAACAAGCTCACCTAAAATTAATTTTCAGCAAGAAAGGTCATCGATAGACAAAAGCCATCACCTAAAGAGATAGACTATTGCCCAGGAATACAAAAACCAAATAAAAATAGCTATGGAGACATTTCACCTAATTATTTTTCATATAATGAAACTCCACGGGGAAGTTCAATAATTTCCCCCCCATGGATGGAAAACAGAGAGAAAACAATACAATTAAGAAAAAACCAGCATATATGTAATCACTTACAAAGTTTAGATCATACCATATAATTTTTACATATCTATATATGCAACTTACATAGAAAAAAAAGACAACCCAGAAGTAAATTCATTGAAAGAACAACAGTGGTTATCTGAAGGAAGGGAGAATTATGGGTAATTTTGCTTTTCTTCTTTAGACTTCTTTTGCAATATATACTTGAACTGTATATTTTATACAATTAAACATTTTTATATACACATCTACAAAGAACAAGATTTTTTTTTTTAACTTGACTTTTTAAAAATGGAGGTAGAAAAGATTTTGGCATTATGTTGAATTAACTGCTACTAAAATCAACTAAAGTACTTCAAATTTTATTTAGGCCATTGTTCACTCAACACAAGCACCTCCATTTTTTTTTTCACGTGTACCAAGCCTCTTATCACTTATAAAAGTCTATCAGATTCATTAGGATAGAATTCAAAGAATTTTCAAAATGCCACAAACTTTCAACTTGCCTTTTTTCCTTTTTTTTTTTTTTTTTAAGGTTATAGTCTCCAAAGTACATGCAAAAAATATCTGCAATGAGGTTAACATAGAAACAACATGATGGTATTGCAGTTGAGTTTTTTTTTTTAAGTCCTTATCTGTTAAATAAATATTGAAGCATTTATTGGCAATGATAAAATATTTAAGATTTCCTTAAAATACTCCAGCAAAAAAAAAAGTGGTAGTAGAAAACAGATGAATCAACAGTAAGAGAAATTGGGAATGCAGTTGGGTGATGAGTACCATTATCCTATTCTACTTTGCATACGTTGAAAGTTCTTCCATAATACAGCTTTCTGTAAAAGTGTGCTATGAAAAGTGAAAAGCAATATATACATGTGCAAAACCATTCCTCATATCATCTAATGTACCAAAATTAAGCTCAGAGCCAAATACTATTTTTTATTTTTACATCAGGGTGACCACATCAAAGGGAGCATGACTCTCTATCTTTTCTTTATTAGGCAATACGGAGTATGTGCACGAGTAAATCTATCAAGAAAAACAATGTCTTTCATACGCATCTACATATTTGATGCAGATTTCAGATTTTCTGTCCTGGGCCAGAATTAGACAGTCAGCCGACACAGCACTACTTGGCTCATGACATTTAAAAAATAAAATGAGATGCGTGCTGACTCAAGCAGCAACAAGACTCTATTCTAGGAGTCCCAGTCTCCTGCTGGACACAGAGGAAGGGCTCTGCTCCTTCTCTGAGAGGACAAGCTGGTCTGGACACAAGTCAGCTGCGGGGCAAAAAGCCTCAGCACTCAACAGAAGTTAGGCAACCAAGACCAACATCATTTATTTTATATAGTCTGTTCTCAGTAACAGTTGCAAAGGATAACATGAATATTAAGGATCTGGGATCCCCAAAGTGATGACTTCCTCATGTATCAAAAGCACCCACATATGTTCAGAAGGCACTCACAGTTCAAGGGCTTTCATGTGCATTACCACAAGTGATCCTCCAGTCTCCCTCGAGAGGTTGGTAAGGCCTGTATTATTCCCATTTTACAGATGCAGAAAGTGTCTACCCAATGCGTCCCCTGAAGAGTGTCTGGGACGTTAATGAGGAGGTCAGCACTTTGTAAAGTGAAGTGGGGCAGAACAGAGGGGAAATCAGCTTTAGGTCTAACACTTCCTGAGTTTCAAAACACCCGCAATTATTTCCTGATGACCCAGGATTTTGTAGCGTCTATTCTTTGCTACGAGAATGGAGACTTTAATTGATCGTACTTCCGTTTACAATCATGTGTCTACGATCTTGCTTTCTGTTTTCTGAGCTCTAACAGAGGTCTCCTAACAACTCACTTACCCTAAAAAACAGAAACAATCATTCTTTTAAAACCGGGAGGGACTGTGATGGTTGTGTGGCTGAGCGGTTGGCCACTGGTCCTCTCTCTTTGCAGTCAAGATGGCACAAAGGAAGGGAAGTTGGCAGAGCAACAGTCACAGCCCTCAACTCCCACGGACCCCTTAACCTAGTAGGAGAGCAGAGCCTACCTCTCTGACTTCGTGAAGCTGGCCGGAATACTGACTCTTGACTCTTCGGGCGGCTGCAGGCGACTTGTGATGTGTGATTGTGACAACACCGGGGGCCCCCGCACCGAGGTGTCTCTGGCTACAGGGAGATGCAGAATTGGGTGTTCCATGGGGGAGCAAAGTGAGACTTCGGCTTCGGGAGCTTGGAGTAGTCTAGAATAAGCAACAGGTGTCAAAGTCAACAACGGACCTGCAGAACACAACTAAGTGTTGGTTTCTATTTATTCTGGACCTCTTAATCTTTCCCCTGCATCTGTTTAGATGGACGAAAGCATAGGGGAGGCATAGCAACACTACATGCCCAAATTTGACACTTAATTAAGAGAGACAATCTCCATTAACTATCCTTCTGGTCTCATCTCCAATTGCGTCTCCTGCCCTACACTACGGCCATGAAGAGCCACTCAGCGTCCCCCCAAACACCATGACTCTTGGATCTGTCCCTCTGTACATATTAGCTCCTCTTCCTAGAATGTCCTTCCTCTCCTGGCTGGCAAACTTCAGCTGAATCTTCAAGACTCAGCACAGTGTTCTCCACTGTGTGAAGCATGTCCTTGTCTGTCTCGGCTTCTCAGCTGCTCTTACTCCACTGTATCAAGATTATATTCTTTGTCCAGCTACTCTCTTAAGTACTTAATAAATGTTTGCTGCATGAATGAAATCACTAAGTTATCCACCATAATCCTCACCGGTTAGTGCAGTGCTTATATTTCATCCTCTAGTAACATATAATCCAAATCACAAGTACGTATGTGATAAAGATGGCATCTCAACTTAGAGGAGATCAATTTTTCAGTAAGCAGTTTTGGGATAAGTGGGCGGCCATCTAAAAAACAAAGCTGGATTCATTTCTCAGGTCATAGATCCCAAATGGATCAAAGACTTAAGGGGGAAAAAAAGCACTAGAAGAAAATATGTAGCCTTAGGATAGAGAAGGCCTAACACCTCAAAATCCAAAAGCCATAAAAGAAAAGCTTGATAAATTTGATCACCTAAAAATTGAACTTCTGCATGGGAAACAAATTTTTAAAATGCACTGCCACCACCAACAAAGCCAAACGATCAACTAGGGAAAATAATTTCAACTTGTTTCATACACAAAAGGCTCCTCATTCTAATTTATGATTAGGAATATAATTCCTAGGAAGTGATAAGAAGAAGGGCAATCTATTACTGAAATACGGCAAGATATGAACAGACAGTTCACAAAAAAGAAAGATAAATGGCCCTTCAACCAACATGAAAACATGTTCAACTATACTCATAAGATAAATGTAAACTCAAACCACATTTAGATACCACCTTTCACCCATCAGATTGGCAAAAATCCAAAAGTTGGAGTACACAGTCTGTTGACAGGACCATAGAGAAATGCTCTAAGGTGGCGAAACCCCTAGGGAGAGCAATCTGGCAGCCCCTGTCGCAGTTACAAATGCACTTCCCTGTGACCTAGCAAGGCCTGTTTGGGCAGGTATCCTCCAATACACCTGCACCCAGTGAAATGGCCTAGGCACCCATTAGTCACCACAGCAAAGGGCAGGAGAAAACCCAAATGTCCACCCGTCTGGGACAGGTTAAATAAATTACGGTACACTTGCATAACGGAATACTACCAAGCTGTAAGAGCATAATGAAAGAGGTCTCTGAGTTGCCCTGGGAGAAAAAATCTCTAAATAATACATTTAAGTGAAAAAAGCAAGGTGTGGAACTCTTTTATAGTGTCAAGATGCGGAAAATAAGTATTTTTATTGCAATTTGTTTAAATCACAAAAATACTCTAGAAGGATACAGACAAAACTAAAACAGTGGCTACTTCTTTGTGGAGAAGCAAGGAATGAGAGGGTACAAACCAAGGGAGATTTTTTACTGTGTAGTTTTTTATCTTCTTTTATTTTGAATCATGTGAACGTATCACCTATCCAAAATTTTTAAAGTTCTACATAAAATTTACATTCTAAATGTTCCTATACTTCATTTCAGCTCAAGAAAAGGCAGTGAGATGATATGGTGGATTCATGCCAGTTTCTGTATTTCAATTATCAAGTGTTTACTGAATACCCACTGTGCGCCAAGGAGAAGAGCCACCATGTGGTGTCAAGGAGAAGGATGAGATGTATGAGTCAGTCTTTCACCACAGACATTTACAGAATATCTGGGGATGGAAGATGCACAGACACAGAGGCAGAAAGGCACATACACCCTCGAGGAGTAAGGAAGTATATAACAAGGTGCTAATTTGTCAATACAGACAGAAAGTGCCAAGGAAATGAAGACGAGAAAGATCTACCACAGCTGACCTCATCACAGAAGGCTCTTCTGAGGGTGAAGCGCCTGAAGTCTAAGGAGGATCTGGGAAGACAGACACCCGGCCAGCAGCAGTGTACAGACGACCCAGACAGTCGGGACTCAGTCTCAAGGAACACTCACAGCTCTGAAAACTGTTAAGTGTTAATGACCTGTAGGTTTACACATCATCACGGGGCAGGGAGTAGGGTGGGAGCCAGAGTGGAAATCAGAACTTCATGCTATCCTATAAGATCGCAGTAGCTAGGAAGGTTCTCTGCACGTGAACTTGGATTTAATTAAAAGGAACACAGATAAAGTTGGGAAGCATGGCATTGCTTTTAAATAGCCTTATATACAGGGAATTGGGGAAATCTGTGGTCTGAGAATTACATCTACCTTGAGCACAATGAAACACAACAATCATATACTTTCAGTTTCAGTTTTTTCAGTTGGAATGTAGAGGGGGAAAGAACCTGTTTCTTTAATCCTTTAATGACAGTAAATTTGCCTAAGCATTAAAAGTCTCCTGAAATACCTATGTTGTGGGAGCCTTATTCTAACCAAAGAAAAGGCAGATTTTTCACTGCCCTTTGAAGCCAGACAAGTTTCACTCTTTCAGCTTCACCAGGTTCCAGCTGTGTGACCTCAGGTGAGCTATTTAAGCTTTCCTATTAAGCATCAATTTCCTAATCTTTAAAAAAGGAATAATAATTCTGACCCTTAAAAGCCATCATGAAGATTAAATTAGATCATGCACATTAAATGCTTAGCCCAGTGCCTGATGCGTGGAAGCTGTATGGCCAAAGTTTGTTTCTTTCCTTACATCACTTAAAACTCGATCGATGAAGCCCTTATTGATTTTTAAAATGTTAAGAAGTCACTTAGCACGAAAGCATAAGCAGCCACTGACCTGTTCCTTATTTTCTACAGGTTCAAAGTGGTGGTGAAGCCCAAAACAATTAAATACATACTGGAGAACATATATGGTCAGCAATTAAATTGTGAGATTGTTGAGGGAAAAAACACTTCTAAATTCTAAGTAGAAGGAGAACCCGTCAGAAAGGAAGACAACTCTGGCAATGGGCACCTTTGCCTGGAGTAGTCCCAGTGTAAATGGCAATAAATCAAGAAATCCCCCCAGAATTCAAATTATTCCACCGTAGACGTCTAACCCCATGATCATTACTTAATGGCTGTCATTTGAATTCACAAGCAGTAAATTTGAATCAAAAAACCTTTAATTTTCCATTAACTGTGGGATTCTCATGATTTAATTCACACTCGTGCCTTCCCTCAGGGGAAATATGAACCAAAAAGTCTCACTTTTGGTAAATCCCACAGGTCATGAGGCCAGGAGAAAAGGCAGCAGACTGCAACCACTATAAACAAGTGGCCCTTCCCAAAACGCAGCCTGTCTAAAATTGACAGGTTTTGTTTGAAAATTGCGCTTAGATGTCATACGCACTCATCCTTGCTACTAATTTAAAATAAAATATTGTCAGAGTCTGAGGATCAACATGCTGGGTTTTTGCTCCAAATATTTACTTCAATGGGGGAGACTACAAATGCCAAGTGTGCCATCTGTGGAAAATTCTGAAGAGAGGGAAACCATTTCTATTCAGGAACAAGATTCACCCTATACCTAGGAGAATCACCCCTGTGTCCCCACCCTCAGCAAGCATCTGCCTGATAAATGATGCCAAAGAAGAGAACGAGGTAGCAAGTAAGAGAGAGTGCTGGTGCCCAGATCCCGTCCAGGCATCCGACATGCAATCAGGTTTTACGGTATTTACCAACCTCTTGGTTTTTCTTGACATTCTTCACTGGATTCCTAAATTTCCTAAGGTTGCGAGGAAGGGACATACACACACATTCTTTGTATTTACTGGCCAAAACCGGCATAAAGGAAGGTGTAACTGGAAAGGGAGAAGAAGCACTAGAAAGAAGAGGTCCAGCCAGGGAAAGCAAGCAATGAGCCAAGAGATAGGGTCTAGCCTGGGAAGCTTAGAGCAGAATCACTGGACTATCTAGAGGCTTCCAGACCATTCCTCTGTGCAGAAGGGTAGGAAGAGGATCTAGTCTGACCAGACACTGTCGGGGAGTGGTCAGAAGCACCGTTTCTAAAGTCAATGGCCTGGGTTCCAATCTAGGCTCTAACACTCATAAGCTGTGTGTCCTAAAAAAGTAACATATTGTCTTCATTTCTAAAATTTTAATATTACCCTATCTCACTGGGTTGGTAGAGAATGAAATAAGAAGAGGTAGGTAAAGCAGGTGCCACAGAGTAAGCATGCAGTAAATATCATCATCATTCATAAATTAATAAAAATGAGGCCTTCAGACACCAGTGTAGGTGAAGGATTAAGGGGTCCCAGAGGCAAATATATGGGCTGAAAGGCTGTTTTGGTTGACAATGCCTTAAGCAGACATAGCCCTGCTACTTCCTTCACTTAAAAAAAAAAAAAAAAACAGGTAAATTAAGATTAATCATCCTAATTAGTAAAAAACAGTTTGCTTCAGAGAAAAAGTACATTTAAAGTACGATTTCACATTTTCAAAAACCCATCTATTGTAGATAGAACACAAAGTGCCTGTGGATTACTCTAATGCTCCATGAGTACCCAAAGTAAAGAATTAGTTTAAATAAGTAATGAGCAATTTCCCCTTAATATTCTGGAATAAAATACAAAACCCCAAATTGAAAAGAACATCAGTTAGTCCTAAAAACCTCTTAAAACATGTTTCAAAAGTTTATAATTAGGCTTGCTGAGGCTGGAATTAAAAAACTGAAAAGGAGTAAGAGGGGACACAATTTAAATATACATTTGTGGCAACCACTTCTGTAGAAAATTTTTCTGATGGGAAAA